TTACAAGTACCTGCATTTTGGCGGACAGAAAACTAATAACAGTGTTGTTAAATGTGACTTTCCCTGCATTAACAATGACGTTGCAGTTAATGGCTTCACATTTGTGCACATTTAAACTGCAGGTCCAAACAAAAATGGCCAACCAAGTTATGAAGTTTCTTATAATATTTTTTGTGCTAATTGAACAGTTAGACCTGGAGATTCTTGACAGACTTTGAGTAATTACCGTTGACAAGCACAGTGGTAAAGCATGATTCAGGCAAATGCTGACTCGTTATTACCCCCTGCCTCTTCCATGACATCTGTTCGCCCTGCTTGTCCGTCTAAGCTGAGCGTGCTCCGTTCCAGGCAGGCAGTTTGGTCGGCAATGACCTTATCCATCTTGACAGAATCTCTTGGAAAATGAAAAGTGTTTGCATGTCCGTGCCCGAGTGCCGGTGCAGCTCAGAGCGTAGACGGTGCTGCGATGGCAGATGGTGTGTCGGTGGGAGTGGGCGGGCCCATGTCATTTGTCCTGTTGAGCCCAGGGCTGGGAGTGGCTGAGCTCCAGCCTCTGGCCTGTGTAATATTGTGACATCAGAGCTTGTCTTTTGGCCCAGTTCACCCGTCAAGAGGTCAAGTCTCAAATGGTCAAAGTTAGAAATGCTTGAGGTGATTATTACTCAGGGGTGGCAGCAGGTTGCAAACAGATTGCTTGCAAAACCTGAAAAGTTGAAATACAAACTTGTCTCGTTTGATGTTGTTTGTTCACAATGTTCAGCAGTTTTTTTTTAAAAATTATGGAATTTGCCTTTTATGATGTTTGTATGCTGAACACTAAAAGAAAAAGAATCAAACAAATTGCTATCATGGCATCTTTCCAGAACGTTGTCAGTTTTTATTTTTTATGTTATTTATTCATTTTGTGTTAAAACAATTTTCATTTACGTTTGTCCACCTTTCATAAAACTGCGACAAAATAATCATGGTGATGTATAATTCATATTTTGCTTCTCGTAGTTTGTCTTAATTTATAGAGACCCCCCCCCCAAGTTTTGTTTTTCTCACACTTCCTCCATCACCTGGGCATCATATTGTGGCACCTGAACTTCCCCTCTCATCCCTCTGTTCTATGTTTAGAGGCGTGAAAATAGCTCTCGTCCTCCGTGAGGTTGAGTCCTCTATTCCTCTCGTATTTGTGAGGAGGAGATAATGAGAGACCTGGGAACATTTTCCTTTGTGTCTGTAAATCTTCAGCCGCCTCGCCGTGTGTCATCGCTGTGTTCTTCCTAAGATCTGTCATCTTTTATATCCCAGGATTCATTGCAGCAAACAAAGGCCACTGATTCATCCTGACAGCCTGCTCTCTCTTCCTCTCTGCTTCTGTTCTCAGACGTACCAGCAGTCAACCTCTTTGCAACCAAAGAACAGGAAGAAGAACAAAGGTAAGTAGGGGAGTCTCCTGCTCGACCCGAGCAGATGTTGTGGTCACTTCCAATTCAACGTTTGATTTTTCTCACGCCTAATTTGCAGATCTAAATAAAGAATCATGCAAAAAGGTTAATTTGAATTAAGAAGACCTTGTATATATATATATATATATATATATATGTTTATTTATTTATTTTTTGCTTGTAAAAAGTTACTTTGGCCTTGGAAACATTTTCATCACAAGCTTTCCCAAAATCAAAACTGTAGTGATTTTGAAGTGTGAAAAAGTGTTAGACTGTTTTTTTTATCACTTTATTGTGAATCAACATGTTGGAGGACTCTTGTTTTTAATTGTTTTCTAGCCATACACTTTTTTTGCCATCTGCCATTGTGAAAAGCTCTTGGTGCTTTGGCTTTGTTTTGATCACAGCAATTAAACCAACATTTTGAAATCAATGTGACGATGATAATTTACTGATGCAACAATTGCCCTAAATGACTTATTTATCTAACACTTAGCAAATTACTAGCAATTATTTTTGGCCATGCTAGGAAAATGTTCCAACTTCCTCAAATACTTTAGTTCTTTTATAGCCAAATCCATGATGGCATCAGTTTGTGGCCTAAACCAGCTGCACAAAAATTAAGGCTCTCATTTACTTAGAGACCTTTTGTGTTTTCTTAGGAAACAGACTGCCCTTTTCCTAGAAAGAAACTGAATAATTATCTCTAGACTGACACATTCCTTTCACATTAAGTGCTAGAGCTTTAATATTCGACAATACTTTATAGAAAAATAGTGTCCTTTGGAAATACACTGGCGCAGAGTTAAATGTAATATTGAATCAACGTCCTCATTACAAAGACATTTCTTGCAGAGCAACTGAGGTGTATTTGTGGTTCTCGCCTGGGAGCCAAATTTTCCCCAGTAATCTTCAGGAAGGAGCTTGCTGTGAACAGTGCTGCAGCACTTGAAGTCAGAAGGAAAATGTCCTTTAATAAACACCTCTTACTTTTACTGCAGTGCAGCAGCGATCTGTCAAACGCTCAGATGCAGGGACTGAACTCTTGGCAGAAATTGTGGCTACATTAGCATGTGGCTCTTTATGAAAGCTATTATTCAAACTGCCATGAACGACACTTATTCAAGCATCATTAGCAGAGTGCTCTACACATTGTAAAAACATTTTCACCTCATCAGAGACCAAGTTTTCCTCTATTTTTTTTGTATATTCTCTGGATTTGTGGATGTCACACCTTCACGCTTCTTTCCTTTTGTTCAAGGACGAGGTCTGGCATCCCTGAGCCGCAGGAGGGTTTCCTGCAAGGCGCTGGGCAGAGGGGACTGTGAGGGCTGGTTGTGGAGAAAGAGGGATGCAAAAGGTTACTTTTCTCAGAAATGGAAGAAATACTGGTTTGTGCTGAAAGACAACTGCTTATACTGGTATATCAACGAAGAGGTGGGTTTAAACATTGTTTTGTTGAGATTGTGAATGCACTGTGGGATGCAAAAGTATTTGCCCCAATTTGTATTTTTTATGTGGTTATTATTACTTACAACAAAAAATGCAAAACTGAAATGTAGTACGTGTATATACAGAATATTCACTTCATGTACTTTAAACTTTACACCACTGACTTCAGACCAACATATTTGGGATCCACCTGTGAGCAATCTAGTTAAAAAATGTTTTTGTTTTTAAGTATACAGTAAATACACATCAGGTTATATACACCCATCTCCCAAGTCAATAACAGAACAACATATATAGGTAGTAAGGGCTATCAAAGTAAGAGACTGCATGAAGGCCAAAGGACTTGCCACACAGGTCAGAGGCAATGTTTTAGAGAAGTATGGGTCCCAGTTGGATTATAAAAAAAGTCCTGAACCCTGAATAGTCCACAGAGCATCATCAAATCTATTATTGAAAACTAGAAAATTTATGCTACTACAGTATGCCTGCTACGAGAGGACGGGCTTCCTAAACACATGGAACAAGGAGACCATTACTCAGAGAAGCAACAAAGAGGCCAAAGATAAATGTGATGGCAGCTCTTCAGCAAAGATGTTTTAAAAGCAATGCATCTGCCCYTTTCACCAATCTATTGCACAATTTTTTTTCTCTTGGCCTTCAGAGGAGTCAGACACTTTTTTCTTTCTCTCCCGAACCTGTCCCTCCTTCCCTGCTTTGCAGCTTTGTCAAGCCTTTCTTCTACCTATCATCTGAAAACAAAATGAATTATGGTTTTGGTCAACTGGTCTCTGAAACAATCAGCATTATTTTTTCCACACTGATATTGGAGCGTGGGGAGCGCAGCTGTCCGAGTGGAATGGTGGCGGCCGGGCGAGTGTCTGACTCTTGGGGTGGAACCTCATCTGTTTGACCCCGCTTTCCATTGAGGACGTGGAAGATCTGTATATATTTGGATTTATGATAACTGGATTCCTGCTGATCGGCTGTGGAGGTGTCTTGGTTTATCGGAAAATGAAAGTGATCCTGACAGTAGTCCGGGCTTGTCAAAAGCTGCCAGGAACCTTGGATGGAGTCTCCCGCACTGGAAATGCACAAACTCAAATGGTGGGGAATATAAGTTACAAACTGGATGTGATTCTGACGAGAATCACAGTTCAGCAGCGTGCCCGTGAGGAGTAAGATTACACATGGGTGAAGTTTCAGACAGAGAGAGGCGAGGAGGTACTGAAATTTGGAACATTGGCATTTTTGCAAAGACAGAGATGCAGGTAAGACTTAAAGCAGAGAAAAATCAGGCTGCTTGCCCCAAACAATTATGTTTATCATTTGGATCCCTGCAGCTGCGACCTTGGTTTGGCAGCTATCAAAACTCCCTGGATGACACGGGAGATAAAAGCCTTGACTCCCCCCTTTCCTACCCATTTCACCCATGGGCGGATCAGTCTGAAGGTCACAATGGGTGGAGACAGAGAACTGACTCTGGTGATTTGTGCTTCTGGTTGACAACAACTTGTTTCGAACTCTGGAGGTCTTTGATTGGTTCCAACACGGAGTACTAACCTGGAATGTCACCGGCTCCGCTGAACCCCACCCCATACCATGTGTTTGATCCCCCCACCCCCTCCCCTCCTTAGCTGCCTTGCTGAGCAAGTGGATTTTTTGAGTGTATGTTTCTGTGTTTCTGTGTAAAACACAGGATCAGAGCTCTTTTTTAAACTCACCTTTCCTATTGTGTGTATTCCAAGCTGCATAGCGCACCGTAGTGCAAAATACTGTGGACATTCGCTCCCCCATGTTTGTTATCTGTGTCTTTCTCCAAACAAATGTTCTAAACTGCAAGTTCCTAGTCTGTGTTTATCACTGACAATGGCAATAAAGCTGATTCTGATTCTATGCCGCAAACTTCACTGAACTGGGCTTCAAAGAAGAATAGGCTGGAAAAAGTTATTAAGGCAGACCATTTACTTACTGACAAAAGGCATACTGGAGACTTCTCAAAGATGTGGAAGAAGGTGCTGTGGTTAAATGAGACTTTTAGTATTATAAGCCATGACAACACCATGTCTGTAGCAAGCAAAATACCTCTTAGCATTCAGAGAATACTAACCCTACAAGTACATCATTGTGGTGACATCATCACATTGTATTATTCTTGTCATCAGGAACTGGAAATTAGCCAGAGCTGAGGAAAAGAACACTGGCACAAAATGTAGGTACAGAACGATTTAATGGTGCGTTCCAGAACTCGAAATTGTGAAGTCGGATTGATATCAGTTCTGAGTTGAAAGTGTTCCAGTTTCTAGCTTGTCTAAACGTCAGAAAAAAAGTGTTTCTATTTCTTGCTCTGACGTGATAATTCAACTATAACACTTATAAACAATAGCGCTCTACGTGACATTTTAAGTGTACAAACAGCATTAAAACATATCTATCTAGCTATAAAGTACTGTAAACAACACATAATTGCTAAAACCATAAAAGTAAATAGTTTCATTCTCTGTTGATGCAGCAGCCATATTGAAATAAAGATGTCACACATGTTTGAGTATGGTTGTGTAGCACCAATTTGCCGACTCAAAATGATGATATTAGGGACCGTTCCAGTTGATATTTTCATCACGGAAGTCTAGTATTCGACCTCCAAGAACAACTGGAATGAAGCATAAGACTTGGACAAAGTTTTACCTTCCAGAAGAACAAAGAGCCTGAATGCCCTGCTCAAGCAACATTTCAGTGGTTTCAGGAGGCACAAATGTATGTGCTGGAATGAATAATTGAGAGAAATCCCAGTAACTAGACGCATTAGATGTTGCTGTTATAAAACCTGCAGCCCAATCTTCATCAATCCGAACAATTCATCGTAGATTTATTACTTACAACCAAATTTAAAAAAAGCTTTTAAGACAACCACATAAAAATAATACCCAGAGTGTAAATACTGTTGCAACCCACTAAATCCTGATTAAATCAAGTGTTATAGCTGTATGTTTTATTGGTTTATCTCAAGGAAAATTGGTTTAGATAAGGGGTGTCCAATTCTGGTCCTCGAGGGGCCAATATTCTGTCTGTGTTACAGGTTTCTCTGCTGCAACACACCTAATTCAAATAAAAGGATGTGTAACTTCTGCATAAATCTTAGAAATATTTTAAACACGGAGTCAGGTGTGTTGGAGCAGGGCAACAAGTAAAACTTTCAGGAAAGCGGCCCTTGAGGACCAGGGCTGTACACACCTGTCATATATAAAACTTTCTTGGCATGACTATTTTAAATTATTATTTTGTTTCCTATTATTATTTTTTATTTTGTTCTATCACCTCTTTAACACTGTTCTAGTGCTTGACTAAATTTATGTACATTTGTCCCCCTCTCTGTTATACTTCATTTGTGGTTTTTAGCAGAATTATAGGATTAAAGATAATGGATGTTTATAGTAAAAGGCCACAGTGCACGTTGTTGGTATTTATTTTAGCATTTACGCACATTCTTTTGACACCTATCTGCAGTTTGACACACTGCCTCACTGTTTGACTCAGAAAAATGGAAACAGTAACAACTAATTTTATGCTCATTAATCATATTTTACAACAATATGCTCAAGCTGCAAAATTTATAACCACCAAGTAAATGCTTTTCTTCAGCCTTCTTTTTAACAAATCTGTTTTTATATGTTTTTATTTGTTTTTTTTTTTCTTGTTCGTTCAGGATGAGAAGGCAGAAGGCTTTGTCAGTCTTCCTGAGTTTAAGATTGACCGTGCCAGTGAATGTCGAAAGAAGTAGTAAGTGTCTGAGAAAAGCTGCTTCAATGCATGTTTATGTCCTATTTTCTTTATGCTCAGTTCTTGAATGCATGATGGTGCGCAGCAAAAATAACTCTCTCTGTCTCTCTAGTGCTTTCAAAGCATGCCACCCCAAGGTCAAGAGTTTCTACTTTGCAGCAGATGGAGTGGATGACATGAACAGGTAAAGCAGTGAGGGCTAAACTCAGATGARGGCTATGCAGTGGGGCAGAATCCCAGCTGGGTGGCAAAAATAAAATATAGCTTACCGTTTACTTCCCATAGAGCACAAAAGAAATAGAATATTTTTTACAGCATYAGATAAAGCAGTTTGTTTTTAGAGATGACCCGAAAACATAATTTGCAAGACATTTCCATACCATTTTTATCTGTGCAAATGTTAAATGAAACACATGCAAAATCTGCTTTTTTAGCCYTTAAATGCATTTTGTTGTGCAGCTGGAGTCTCTAGGAGMGCAGAAATTTGGAATTTAGTCTGAATTGCTGCTTGCATGTCTTTATATTCTGTTTGGGTCATATTAGCGCCAAGTTTGCATTTCAAGAAGCAATGTCAAAATGAGTTGATCTGAGACACGCCTCAGAACAGGGGTGAAAGYGGGGCTTATGGAGCCATAATAAGGAGAAATTCAGTCCAAAACATTGTGTTCCTCTTTATATAGACCCCAACTGAGTGATTTACGTGTAAAAGCAGATATAAAAAACATGATATGTCTCCTTTAAAGGATATATGTCAGTGTTTTAGTATAAAAGTTTGCTAAAACATTGAGGGAAAATTATACATTTGTTCTTGTGATGTTTCATGAAACATAAATACAATAAATGGACTGTATTTATATATCATATTTCTTGCCAATCAGGCAACTCAAAGCTCTTCACAACACAATCTGTGCCCTCATTTACCCATCCACACACTCTGCTACGTCCCTACAAAGCTAATCTGATTAATTCATTCTATAGAGTCTAATTAATTCTTTAAATGGCATTCATACACTAATGGAGGACATCAGAGGCAATGAGAGGTTCATTGTTTAGAGACATTTTGACATGAGGCTCATTGGAGAATGACTGCTTTAGATGTACTGATTCAATAATTTGAATAGGCCATGTTAGAATTATCTTTTGTGGAGTGCATTGTGGTCTGCAGTGCTACAAACATGCTTTTACAGTTTTCATTTTGTGGGTTAAACTTTAGTGAGTTATTTTATTTATTTTTTTGTTTTGTTTGTGTTGTTTGTTACAGGTGGCTGAGTCGCCTCAACATGGCAGCGGTGGGCTACGCAGAGCGGGAGAGGATGCGCCAGGACCAGGGTAAAAATGATAGAAATTTTCTGAAGGGCACTTCAGCAGATGGCTGCTATTCCTTTTGAACCTGCTTTTATTTTTTTTCCATTATGACCAACCTCTTACCTGAGAAATGGCCCCTGAAAAATATATACATTTATATTTTCATCCAAGCCTCTAAATCTATGGTGTCTGATAGACACCAGTCACTATTGTCTGACAGTAAGTTTTTGTTGTTGTTATTGTTGGAACTTTTCAACACATCCATATAGGTTTTGGCACGAAAAGGTTGAAATAGAGTATAATTGGATGGACTATCAAAATGTATAGATGTAGTTTTTATTTGATATCAAGAGTATATGAGTGCATTGGGATGTGAGTTGACATAACTTTTTTAAAAATTGTGACTCAGTATTTCTGATGTGATGAATTAACGTGGTTTAAGATATGTTTATATGTATGAGCATGTGATGAAATTATATTATGGATGGATGGATGGATGGATGGATGGATGGATGGATGGATGGATGGATGGATGGATGGATGGATGGATGGATGGATGGACCAATCACAGGTGTATAAATACTGTACTGCAAACACAATCTTCATGGATTGACAGTAAAATAATGTATTGAACAGTGGTGGGCAGTACTAATCTAAATATTAGTTGCACTAACTCTAAAGCACTAAGTGAGATATTTAGGTCCCCTAATTCTAAAGCACTAAATCACTGAAACAAATAGCAAAAGCTAATTTTAAAGCACTAAAACAACCCAGTCAACCCATGAACATTCTTCAACAGACAACATGAGTCACATATTGACATGTTGCTCTCTTAAGCATTATCATTGACATTCCACAGCCTACTTTGAGCTCATATATTGTTAATATATTGTCACCTGGTGGATAAGTGACACACATGAACAAAATGTCTGACAGCTTTCACTGTCAGCTGTTAACATTAACATTGATCAATAACATTTATAGACAGCAGTTAGTGCTTCTAAATTTAGCCTATAAATTTAGCAAGTGCTTATCCACTGATGCATTTTAAAAATAGCAAAAGCCCTAAAACACTAATCAGAAAAATAGTTCCTCTATTTGTGCTTTAGTGTTTTAGGGGAACTGTGCCCACCACTGGTATTGAAAGACTGTATGTTTGATTTCTCTGTTCTAATGTGTAAACATGTGTTTCCTGTAGATTACTGGAGTGAGAGTGAACATGAAGATGACACCACCTCCAGCCCCAAGCAGGACAGTCCTCCACCTCCATACGATACTTACCCTCGACCGCCATCAGTGAGTCAACAAACTACGGACTCTATACGAGGAAAAGTGTATATCCCACTTAAAGTGAAAATTCAGAGTCAATCCTCCTAAAAATAGTTTAAGTAGTTAGCAAGGAACACTTAATCTGGGTCTAATAGTCAGTATTACTATCAATAAAGCCTTCAGGCAGCAATGAAGATACTGTGCTGTAACTGTTGCTCTAATTGAGCGTAAAACTGCTTGCTCTATTATGTGTCCTTGTTGTTGAACAAATTGTTTATCCTATAGATAAAATCTAAAGTTTCTACACTTACCCTTTTTCATCCCCCTGTCTTTAACTTGTCTCATTCAATCAATATCCCTTATTTGAACTCATCTGGCTCCCCAGCCTGTTTAATTCCTTTGTTTAAAGTTGCAGTAATGGCTAAACGGGTCGAGGCATCAGTTGATATCTGTCACACTGTTTCTTTTCCCTTTCTCTGTCAGATGAGTGCCTACCTGGAAGGTCGCACAACTCGCCTGTCTTCCACGGAGACTTCTCGCTCTCGCTCTTCCCAGGAGGATTTCTTGTGCACCGAGCCKTCGGCCGTGGCTGCAGAACCGCAGTACCATCCGGGTCCTCTGGGGGGAGGCACCACGCACAGCGGGAGAAAACCAGGGGGCAGCAGCAGCAGCGACGTGCAGTARCGATGTGACCCCGTGGAGGTGTGTCACTTTTTTTGATGTTAAGTTAGATGTTTTATAAAGTGACAAATAGTCTTCTTGTCTTCTTCTTATTGGCGAGAGGTCCTAATCTCTTAATGTAAAGTCAGGATATTAATATTCAAGAGCTGTAACGTAATGGTTTCCAGTGGCTTTTAGGATATTAACTTTTGTAATGAGGTTAATTAGAGTTGAAGCAGCTGACATTCATACTAAACCAGAAAAGCGCCAATAGTACAAAACTATGCAAACATATATTTGCTCCAGCAGTTCTTTAATGAGAAAATGTCAGCAGACGTCTCGAGCCACCATAAACAATAATTTTATCTTGTATTCATTCTGTTATCAAGGACTTTATTACTAAATAGAAATACAGTATATTTATGGCTGTGTTCCAATGCCCTGAGATATTGAAAATTAATATTTAACATATAACAAACAGTAGAATAAATCATTGTATCCTGAGGTAATTTTGAATGTTCCTTACAATAAAATCAGTCAAGGCCACCAGTTACATCGCTTCATATGGTGTCTTAGACCAGAAGATAAAAAAATATAAGTAAACTTTATATTGTCACATCAAGATACTACATCTTAAAATGTTAATTTACTTTCACTAAGCTTTTTAGAAATGCTTGATAAATGATCATCTGCCTATGAAAATGCCTCAAATTCATCTAAAACTTTTTTTTTGTTTTTTGTCCTTATGTAGTACCGTTCGAGTCCCGCAGGGGGAAGTAGTGAGACCGGGTCCCCGGGTCGTTCGTCGTCTTCTCAAAGACGTTCCTGGCAGGACCTGATTGAGACACCACTGACTGAGGCTGGACTGCATTACCTGCAAACCGGACCACTTGGTAATAATCCAATCAACAACAGCTTCATGATGAAATCATTATTAATTGCTTTAATTTAAATCAATGTTTCTTGGTTTCGCCTGTTCCCTATTTAACGGTTGCCACAGTTAATCATTCTCCTCCATCTCACTTTAATGCTAAAAATTAATAGAATTTGACTCTGCAATGCTATTTAAATTTGTTATTAAACAAAACAGTCATACAGAAAACAAGCTTTTTTTTWAAATTTTACAGCAAAATGGTAATATAATTTCCCCCATATCCATATTTAAAGATAATTACATTTGGAGAAATATTTCTTCAGATGTTGAAATTAAACCAGTGACTCTACATTTTTTTTCTTTTTTTTCTGTAATAAATGTCTATYGAGGATATTACAGTACAAGGCAATCAGACTGCAGCTTCTGGGCAACACAAGGTGAACAGATATACGGTCACATTTGAGAGGCAAAGTGTGTCTCATTACCATCTCTCATATTCTGGTTGCAAAATATTATAATTTATCTATAATGGGATAGGATTTTTACGATAATTTTTACCTGGGCTCCAAAGAAAATGATCATCTGTCATATTCTGTACATATTGTGAGAACTGGTTCTTTTTTTTTGGCAGAGGAGTCCGTCTCAAAGTCAACAGAAACAGTTGATGAATAAATAAAAAGTACAAATAGATAAAGCAAAATGAATGGTTGCTTTTCTTCAAAAACTATATGATTGTAATTTTGTGGAATCCAAAGCTCTCACTTTAAACAAGTTTAATTAAAGCTAATATGTTTATAAAAAATGATCACCGACTTCCTGACTGAGGGCTCTTCCTCTTGATTTAACCTATGACTCAAGAGGTAATTAAGGAATTTATTTCCAGCTGTGACTAATGTCCGTGTGAGGCTAACTATGGTTTT